ATCTCGTAAGATGGCATGCAGAAAGAAATTCTAAAATTAAAAATATGAAACCGTAATTTATGAAATAAAGAACAATTATGATCTAAAGGGTATCAAAATTTGCAAAAAGAAAAAGCTTAATATTTATTTGTTTACTTTATTAAACATTTCTTTCAATGTAAGTTGTTTAAGTTTTGCTTCGTTTCATGTGATAATACTTTCTCTTTAATTCTATTAAACAGACATAATTTCTTGTTCAGTTACAAAGTTCCGCTGTTCAAGTCCTATAATTGCTGTGTCTAGAACACCGATTAATTTGTCAGCCCGCCGCGGCGATCCCCCCGCCGAGCAGCGTGAAATTGATAAACAGATTTCGGATTTCAAAACATACTTTCGCTTTAGATCCTTTACATATTAACAAATATGTATCGGAAATTCTATTTGATATAATCGAAAGTTTAAGCTTACTTTCATAAAATTGCTCTTACAGTCTGCAAAAAATAATAAGCCGGATGCAATTCGAAAATTAAGGAACCACGCAATCATCAACATTAACTGAAATAGATAATTAGATAATTTTACCTTATACGTCCATTATACATAAAACGCGCACGCGAAAACGTATTCTGCACTTGCGCACACTCATATGCGCAGTCGTAAAAGGTCTTACGCGCTCGCGTAAACGCCTATGCGCATGTGTCAACGCGGCGCATGCGCAGAAAGTTTTTAGTTTTGAGGTCCGGATTAGAGATCATTCCGAATTATGGGTGTCCGAATTAACGACTTTTGACTGTAGTTCTAATATGAGGTAAATAAGTATTTTTAGACCATGGTAATTTTGATCTCCTTAGCAAAGGAAACACCAAGAGTTTACCTCATGCTACTGAAAATGTGTTTTTTTTTCCTTTGGGGGGGGGGAAGTTTATAATAATATGCAGAGTTGACATATGAAAAAATGTCAAGACTCATGTGATGTAATATTAAAAGCACCAGTTTTAACTATCAAAAATTCTGCTTTTTAAAAAATATTTTAAATGTTGTGCTTTCCTAACACAAAAGTAACTTTAAGAAAAACACACAATTTATCCCTCCTGCCATCAAAGCTCTGATACCTATCAAATTCGTTAAAATTACATGGACAGAAATGGCGGCATGTTTGAAGCTCAGTATTTAGGGTTACCAAGGTTATCATAATTTTTCATTTATCGCTCCAATATGTCGCCAAACAAATTTCTCGCCAAAAAGGACTAATACTAAAGCTGTGCCCAATGATGTTGAGAAATATTTGTGGAAGCACTTCCGCAGAGAACCAGGTAAATGTAAACATTGCCAACTTTGGCGATAATAGTTCAAACCTGGTAACCCAGCAAATTCATACTATTCGCTTGTTCGAAGGTTGCAACCATTCCTCTTGCATTCATTTTGTTGAATTATCATTGTCGTTGTTCATATCTGCAGATTTACATTATTCTTCTCTTATTTATTATTGTTTTATCCGATTTTCCATGTTATTTTTTCTGAATTTTTTAAAAAATGAATAGATAGTTTTAATAGATAGATACAAATAGATTTCAAGCTACTATTCAGTTTCGAGGGCCTTAAAAAATCGCCAAACTATTGTTGATGCCAATGCTGCCAAAAATACTTGTGGCAAGAAAGTAAGTATAATAGTAAATAACTATCCAAGATTGATGTTTTAATTTAGATGAAAGGTTAATTTCATATAATACTTTTTTATTATTATAATTTATATGAAAAAAGCTAAACATGACTGAATGGAAGCATAAGAGTAAATAACTTTCAAATCATTATAATAATTTATATAAAAATTGCTAAACATAACGGAATGGATGTCTGCATCGCTAAAGCATAATTTCATCTCGTTGGTTGTTCAAACATAATTTTCTATAATGAATGATGCCTTTTCATTGAAAAAATTCTCAATAAAGTGCAGAATCACTCACTTATTTGTTTGCCGCTTTTTACAAGAGTAAAAACAATTGGATTTTTGTCAATTTTCTTTTACTTTTTAAGTGAAAATAGGTCGATGTTACATAGATAAAGTCAAGGGTGTGCGCAGCGCTATTGTGCAATTCTGGGCATTTTTTTTTTTTTTTTCAAGTGAAAATTGGTCGATGTGCACATGGATACCGAGTATGTGCAATTCTTAAAAATGCGTCAAGCAGTGGGTGATTCTGCACTTTACCCAAAATTCTATTGCCGACTTTTCGTCATGGGCAATTCCTAAATTGTTAAATACATAGGATATCAAAATTAAACTAGTATTTCAATGGAGTCGTAAGAAATATAGAATTATATAAACTCACGCAGTCTGAAATCAGCACGTACGTTAGATTTGGCACACTGTTAAATGGGCGTGTTTGCTAGATTTGGCACTTTTGCACATATATTTTTGCTGCAATTTTTTTATGGCCCTCAAAACAGAATAGTACAGATTTCGAATAGATAGAAATATTTTCGTAAAGAAGTTTTTGTAGATAGATCTCGGTTCGGGATTAAAGGAAGAAAATATGGCAGGAAGGGTGAATGCTAATTTGAAACATGGCTGTTCACATTATGTTCTTAATCATTAACAGCTGTAAGCACACAGAACCATGAGGTTTCCAACCCCTAAAATAATTTATTTTCGTAGGCCACAAAAATGTGCCAGTGCATTTTAAATAATTAAGTAATGCTTTTATTTTTATTATTGGTTATTGTCATCTAAAACTATGAGACTAAATAAATTTTTATGGTGTAAAATTCTAACATAACCTTTCAGAGGATGGCAGGTATGACATAAATAGATGATTAAATTGCAATAAGAATCTTATTCATTATCTAAGATGACAGAATAGTTTGATGATTCCCTATGGCCATCAAAATTAGCAAACACTGCTGGTGTAATGAATATGTTGTTTTCTGTGATAACTGGAATTTAAGACAAATTTATTTTTGTATATCAAGTTTAACCGGTTAGTTTTACATCTACATGCTTATTATCTGTGAATTTTTACTACCATATGCATTTTTTTGTCTGCTAACTTGAATTTACATGCACTAAAAATCACGTTTACAGCTCAGCTCGAGCTTGGCGAGTAAAAATGCAATGGCGCCAACGGGTTCTTTCCCGAAGCGCCAACAGGTTCTCTGCGGATGAAAACCCATATTTGTTGATTGATAAACAGTCCCACTGTAACTTGTACACAATTAAAACTTTCAGCAGCAAAACGTATTACAAGACATTACAAGTCCAAGACGTGCCCCATTTAAAGATAATGTAGTACGCAAGCTACCTTTCCTTAATAAATATCTCGAATTTTTACTAAATTACAAACTAAACTACAGGATGTCTGATCTTAATTACAACTAACCCTCATTAATCCTTATAGGCTGCTATCACACGTCAGTTTGTTTCAGAAGAACAACTGTTTGGAACAATTTTTCTGCTTTGTCACAACAGCCAATCACCACAGATCGCTTTGGGGTTAACGCAAGGAAAACTGGTTCCCCATTACAAACAAGCTGATAGCTGATTGGTTGAAAACGAACAACTTGCAATTTTTTTGGAAAGGAAGGAAAAAGTCGCACGTCTTTCTTTCAATAGTAAAGCAGGCAGAAAAATTGTCCGAAGTAGTTGTTCGTGTGAAACAAACGCCGTGTGATATGGGCCATAGGGAGATGACGTCAATATGTGAAAAACAATCTCAAATGGCCAAAGTTTCTCTCTTTGTACCTACTTTAATATACTGAACAAAATATACACTGCATCAAGACGTTAAATAGTGTAACTACAAAATAAAAAAATGTATATATACATATTTAAAAGCTGATTAAATGAAATGTCTGAAGCATTCAGTTTACATATTACATACTAGAGAGCCCGGCGGTCATATGAAATAACTGCTGTTTTAGATATTATAAATTGTAATTAAAATTATTTGTACAAAGATGTCTGCTAATTCAAACTGAATCGCCAAGGGCAGGCAGCGAGGAAGCCCCTTTTGCTTATTGCCCCACAGTTTTCCCCTTTTACTTGCTTAATTGCTTAAAGTAAAGTGCAATGAAGAAAACCACTGGCGGCACATTTCTTAAGAGCAACTGCTAGCTCAATAAATAAACGTGATTTAAATAATAAAATGTTAATTCACATGTCAAAGATCTCTTTGTACACAAAATTTCTTGTGTAGATCTTTTCGTCATTTTTAAGCTCGCCTTGCAGAGGAACATCACTTATTTTTAATTTTACATTCATTCTTTCACGAACTCTTGAACAGGCAACATAAAGTTGACCGTGTCCAAATGCAGACTCAGGTAAAAAAAATGCCAACATGCTTAAGCATTTGGCCCCAAGACTTATTGATGTTAATAGCAAAGGCAAGTTTTACAGGAAATTGTCTACGTCTCAACTGAAACAACAACCTTGGGCCATTGTAACTTCACCCCATTGGCTAGTACAGCTACGCAAGCAACCAATAAACTATTGGCTACAAACAGACACTTAAGCTGCATATATATATATGGTGTGAAGTAACATCATCTCCTCCAAAACGTCTGGCTCCTGAACTTAGCTAAACACACCGTTAGATTCCGCAGGTTCATGGCACACAATTATGACCATTTGCGTCTTCGTGGGACTTTAATTAGCCGAGATATTAATTAAAAACTAATTTTCGCCTTTCTTGAGTTTTCCATATTCAGATTTCTTGGCTCCGTTTCCCTATTAAGGGATTTGGCTCCGTGCCAAATTCTTTTTTTCGAATATTTACAGAACGGCGTCGAGTTGAAATTCGAGACGCGTATCCTTGGGTTTCAAAAAATTCTCCGAATCCATCGATACCATTCTCATCTTTGTACGACTTTAATCGGCTGATATATTAATTCAAAACTGTGAAAACATCAACTACCGCGCTCTTTATTCCGAGTGGCAACAATAAACTATCGGCGACAAACACTTAAGCCGCTTATATATATACAGAAATACAGTATGAATATTTTTCTTTATATAAATTATTACATACCTCAGAATTCACAGCATTGTGAGTCTCAAATGCATCTGAAACATTAAAAAAGAATAAATAAGTAGAACTACTACAACATATTTAAAGTACATCATGTTTTGAAAAAGGATATACAGCTTTACTACAGAATAAAATTATTTAAAAGTGTATCATTGCACAATAAAATAAGTTCCAAGTTTTCTGGCATTAGCGATTCCCAGATTTCCACAATAGTTTTTATTAAACTTCACGCCACTGGAAAATAAAGACTTCAGGTAATATAAATATGTAGTGTCTAATAAAATAGCCACTTGTTGCAAGAAACTAATGAAAACTTGAAAAACGACAGTTAAGTTTGAGAACACTTTATTTTTATAAATTATTTATAAATTTACACCAAACAGAAAAAATTACATATGCACATAGTTTCACACATTTCAAATTTTAGATATTTAAAAATTACACCATATAACCAAAAGTCAGCAGCACACTTTGGATTTTGGGTACTTTTTTATTTATTTATTTTTGAGTTCAAGAAAAATGCATGATAAAGTATTCTGTAACTGTAGCCATGAAAATAGCGACTTTATGATGAACAGTAAAAACAGGACATATACGATGAGCAGTAAACGGGTCATTCAAAGAATATATATAATTATATATAGTATATATTATGTATATACACACATAGTATATAGTGTATAGTTTATATACGTTTTTTGGATCATTTTTGGTGTTGGCGATAATTTTCAAAATCGCGCCAAGGCTGCACCGTATACTAGGATTTTACCAATCCAATCAAATGATAATTGACTTTCACAAGATGTTTGACATGTGCAGTGTTTAGTCTTCAGAATGTAGTTCCAAATTTTGTTACACTTTTGTGAATTTTCTACAGATTTGTCGATTTTCATTTAAAATTTGCAAAGTATGATCGAAAATTAACAATACTTTTAGAAAACAATGTACTGCTTATACACCAGGAAGTGCAGACCATCTCCACTGTTCACTGTTGCATTTGTAACCCCACAAAGCAACAGCAGAAAAGGTAAAGGCATAAATTATATGCTACTTCAAGGCTTGCTCATGAATCAAAAATATGAATCTTAACAAAGGTTTTCATTGTTTAAGCAGCGTTTTGTTTTAACGCAATTTTTCTGCAAACAGCAGATATGCAATCTCACAGTATCTTTACTATAGACATTTATTATAATTACAACTGCTTTTTTAAATAACATACCAAACGACCACAACTGTGAAGGCAATTCATCAATTTGCTATTATGTAACACCTACGGAATATAAAGATTTTATGGTCGAGAAGATATAAAAAAAGATTAAGATATATTTCCAAAAACAATATTACACTGAATCTTACTACAGACAAGACACTCGATGAACTACTTGTAATAGTTGTTTCTTGTTCTTAAACATTATTATGCGAGCGAATATTTTTTATTACGCAAAATTCTTACTTTCATTAAAATCAGAAACTGCCGCATTCGTGCCAGAACTTAAGCCTAGGGTATCATCTTCTAGACCAGCTAATTCATCTTGTTCTCGCGCAAGAAAATCTGCAGCAGGATCCTCTTCTGCAGAAACATGATTTATATCTCCGTCAAATATTTCAAAATCTGACATGATTTAAAACTCAGTCTGTTCACGTCAGTACACTGTCAAGGAGGCGTACTCAGAAATATAAATCGAGAGGTGCTTACTTCATTTCACTTCGAATGATCTGCATTGCGTTTGAATATGTCCCGTTCGACACGTTGAGTTTTATGTAATTTTGCACACTTCATGATTGCGCACTTCACCTACTTATAAGTATCTAGGAGTGATACTTGATTCAAAATTAACTTGGAAACCTCACATTCGAAAAGCAGTTTCCTATGTGAAGGTTATCAAATCCCAATTACTGCCTTTTTTCGCTAGAAAAAGTGACCTGTCCATGAAAAAAAAGATCTTGCTCTATAAATCAATGATAAGGCCTATTCTGACTTACGCAAGTCCTGTATGGGAAGCAGCAACAATTACTAACAGGAAACATATCCAAATTTTACAAAATATTATGCTTCGGCAAATCTAGAAAGCGCCTTGGTTTTATGAACGAGGTCATTCACAATGCAGCCAAAATTCTTCCCTTAACCCTTAAAATGTCGCGAAAATAACCGTAAACCTCTAAAAATTGTAAGGCAGTTCTTTTGTTATTTCCCATCCCTCCCAGAATTTTACTTCAATGATTCCGCTAAGTGAGATTGATTACTAGATATTGTCCCGTAGGTGTCAGCTGTCAAGAAAATTGCAAAAGACTAGAATCTCCGTGATGACCGTCTCAAATGCCGCAGGGTACAGCTGCGAAACTTAAAATTTTACTTCCCTAAAACAATCTTATTTTCAAATAAATTGGTTTTAAAATTTACCCGGTTAAATTTTTAATTATTACGCATTTTTAACCTAAGCAACCTAAAGCTGTATGTCACTGTTATCACCTGAATTTCAATGCAGACTGATTAAACTACTATCACTAAATTCTATTCTGACAAATAAATCTTTCATTCCTTTTGAGATATTGCTGAAATATTTCGTATTATTTCCGATTTTATGCTGTATTTTTGTCGTTAATTAAAAATACTTAAAACTTTCAACATTTTCCTATTTTGTTCAACTGCATGCAAATAATAATTATTTTAAATAATTTCTTTTTGCCCCTAATTATTACGTAGTTTTAAGAGTAATAAACGCTGGGTGTTATTTAAGGCTGATAATATTAATATTAGATGTACTATTTGCAAAACCTTTGAAAACCTACACAACCGGAGAAGCGATTTTCGATATGATTAAAGGTTATTTTGAAAAGAATGGAATAAGCTGGTCTTATTGTGTGGGTGTGTGTAAAGATGGTGCAAAGTCAATGACAGGAAAATTTTCTGGTTTTGTGGCACGGGTGAAAAAGATCAACGAGAAAATTCAATGGACTTATTGTTGTATTCATAGACAAGCTTTACAGCATCACTTACTTTAAGTGATGCAGTGAAAACTGTGAACTTTATAAAATCGCGTGCTACAAATTGCCGTCTATTCCGTTCGCTTTGTGAGCATTTTTGAAGTTTCCACTTTTCTTTACTACTTCACACAGAAGTTAGATGGCTTTCCCGTGGTAAAGTTTTGACGCGTTTGTTTGAATTGAAGTCTGAAGTTCAAGCATTTTTTATTGATCATCCGTTCATTTGTCTTTTTGTATGTCCTATGTTCTTTGGCTGCAAAATCTTGCGTATTTATCTGACAGTTTTTGTAAGCTGAATGAATTAAATATGTCTTTACAAGGCGAGGGTGTCACCATTTTCAGTGTACATGATAGAATTGAGGCTATGTTGAAAAAGATCAATTTTTGGATTCAATGCCTGCAGATGAATGAGTATGGATGTTTCGATTCTGTCAGCACTTTTTTTATCAGAAAACTCAATTAAACTTTACGAAAACATTAAAAGAAGTATATGTGAACATCTGAACTATCTTCGATTAACTTTCGGTGACTATTTTCCCAACAGATGCAATATATCCATCTCAAACAACTGGATACGTAATCCATTTAAAGGAAATGTAAGTTCAGAGACCTCTCTGAATATACTGGAAAAAGAAAAACTCATAGAGTTATCTTGTGACAGTTCTCTAGAAGCAATTTTTAAAGATCAATCTTTAATTGATTTCTGTCTCAGTATACAAAATGAATATCCTGTTCTGTCAAAAAAAGCCATTGAAGTTCTATTACCATTTTGCACAACATATCTATGCGAGAAAGGATTTTCAACATATACTTATCTGAAAGATAAATACAGAAACAGGTTAAATGCAGAACCTGATCTAAGACTGAAATTGTCAGATATTGAGCCTAACTTTGAATTACTTTGCTCTATCAAACAGCCACAAATATCCCAGAGTTTTTCCAAATGTAAAACATAAGAACCAGTTTGTTAAATTTATCTTGTTTTCAACTTTTATAGCCATCATTTTAGTCTTATTAATGTTTTATTTAAATGTTTCACGATTAATATAATCAATTATTCTGCAATATGAAAAATATATATTCTATCAAATTTTATTGCTTTTTTTACCTGTCATTAACAACTACATAGGCGGTTCGTCAAATTTTTCCGGACCTTTCTTTTGGTTCGCGAGAAAAAAAAAGGTTGGGAAACACTGCCTTAGACAAATAGGTCCTGTGTACTTTATCATAATCCAAAATCTTAAGCGTAAAAACCTTTTATCATAGCCGATGATGACGATAAAATATTTTCTATCTGATTTGTTAAGTTAGCATAATTGTATATTTCTAAAGAAAACTGTTTGGCTCATGTTACCCTATAATGAAAAAAAGAATCAAATTGGTTTTTAGCTTAAACAGTATTTTCATTATTAATTATATCACGAATTTTATCAATAGTATTCTTAGTATTAATTGCAGGCATGTATTCATAAATATATATACACAAAGCAAAATCAAAAAATTTACCACGAAGAAATATAAAAATGCAATAGCAACACAAAAGAGTACAATACTATTTCAAGTGTTTTGTGGATATACTTGAAGACAGAAACATGTTTCAGCTGTATTCGTTCATCATCAGAGAAAAACTTTTCATATGAAGCTAATTTTTTCAAATCTTTCACTATACAAGTAATACAAAAGCAGTATAAGAATTTCTTTTCTTAATATCCAACCGAAGAGCTGAGGGGACGTACAATGATTAACATACAATGGGTGCCTTGAATTATTTTGCTTTACATGCAGTTTCCTTATATATGTAAAACAAAATAAACTTTCACCCATTCCAAGATTTCAAGAACTCACAGAGAGAGAGAGAAATATCTATAACAAATTTTATTGCTGTCTGACTGATTGCTTCGGGAACAATAAGTCTTCCAACTCAAGCTTCTATTCAAATACGAACGCTTCTCAGCAAAGCCATTTGGACCGCATCTGCTTTGTTAAAGAAAACCTTTTGGGGGTAAAATCATCCACTTCATCGGGTTTTTTCAAACAAAGCAGTCAGTGGTCCTGTTACTACCTGCTGACCTAGAGAAATTTCTCAGAAACTTTTGTTCGAAAAAAACGAGTTTTATATTTTTAAGAATTTCCATTCTGACAGCAAGATTTTGTTATTTTTCATATATAGATGAAAAAGAAACTAATTTGTTTTTAATAAAGAAGAAAAAAATTAATAAGCTTATTTAAATTTTTTACACAGCACCGAGTAAGGAGACGAAATTTAATTTTCTTTATAAATATTTTTCTCAGACAGTACTTTACGTGTAGTGTTTTTCAAATTACGAGAATAGCGCGTTAGTGCATGCATTTTCAAATCAGATTTATTTAATTAATATATATGGATATGCCGAACAAGCACACTTTCGCACACATACACTGTATATTAGTACATACATAAAATGAAATAAAATTTGAAAACAAGCAATTTAAAAACTACTGTATTGAAAAATTATTGAAAAATTTTGTTTTTAACCTCATTTTTTTTTTCCGTTATATACATTTACTTCAGTTTTTTTATATGCATTTACTTAATTTTATTTTGTTATATGCATCTGTTAGTCTTTTTGAAAAATTTTTAGATTTTTTGAGTATGGCAAAGGAAACGAGATCTATCAGCCGAAGGCAATGAATGTCTCCATGGACGACTTTCTAAGTAAAACGTACTCATGTTCATGTTACACATAGGGAAAATCACAAAAACCATTCAACCAGTTCGTTTGTTTGGGTTCGAATATGAGTCGAAATAGCGATAATCAGATATCTTAGCCAGGAGGCCATTGATTGGGTTTGACAGATTTGGAAAACCTAATAAATAGTATTTAATAAATATAATATTATTAAACGAATCGGATTTATATAAACCAAATAAAATTCTTATATCGAACACAACTAAAACTCGATATAACTTACACTGATAAACTGATGTGTAATAACACTGATAAATTAAATATACTAAACGGAATATACATTAATTCTACATAGATAATTTTTTGCGCTGGGAATGTCTGGCCGCAAAATCCTGATTATATATACCCTTATTTTAAGGTTATCACATATCTGATGGTTTGACTTTTACCTCAAAACACACAAAGAATCCACAAAAAATTCAGTAAAATTAATAACTTTATTTCCCTGTTGAAAATTCTCTGAATCTTTTCAAATATAAAAGCACACGCGCGCCAAGCAGTTTGCTTTAAATAAATATATGCAGCAACGAGAAGATGCGCTTTTGACAGCAACTCGTTTCGAAAATCGAAAATTTTTCTAAATGTAAGAGATTTGTCGCTTAAATTAATTTTTCATTAAACAAAAAACAAAAATAGAATCGCATATTATTAAAAGAATTTTATTGATAATTCAGATTCTGAAAACAAGAACATTGTTGTAAAAAAACAAAGAAAAAAAATAAACAACATATTTCATTCAACGGGGGCCAACTTTGGCGCATGAACTTTCAACATAAAAATATTTGACATGTTATGGATAAAGGTTATGCCTAAGGAAATTGGCTTGAATAACATGGTTATACATATGGAAAACTAAGAATATCATCCTGGCAACCAGCCCGTTTGCCGGGATTCGAACCCCGGACAGAACCACCAGTTGTTCCGTTAGACTCCGCTCAGTCGCTGGTGGGCTGTCCGATAACGGAAAAGTTCAAAATTTCATATTAGAGGAAAAG